TATTTGCGTGATGGAAACCCGATGTTAATTTCACCACACGGGGTGGAGTTCTATGTTGGGGGAAGACAGAGAGAGGAGAGATGGGTCATGTCTCTGGAGACATGACCCAGTGTAATCACGTCGCAGGCCTTTGTAAACGCATCATTATTATTAATAATAATAAGCGGGGTTTCGCCACAGCCCAATGCCGTCTGCCGGAGCTCTCTTCCCAGTGCGGTGTCCCAGGGCCGGATTTAGGGTTCTTGTTGGCCCCCAGGCGCTTCTGTTTCGTAGGCCTTCGGTGATAACTTTCTCCAGTTGCTGCTGCTGCCTCATGTCACGACTACTGCCGCTGGCATTCGCTACAGCTGAATTTTTTTTTAAGCTGTCTCCGATCAACAGGAGGACAATAACGCTTGCCTTCCCTTGCACTTACTCTCTGTTGTGCGAAAAACGCCATTTTAAGATGTTATTGCTAATTTTGCGATGAAAAAATCTCGAAAAGTTAATCACCGCTGTTAATTTATCTCACGTTATGAAATAAAAACCGATTGACATGACTCTGTCTCTTTGTGTATATACTGTGCCTATCTTATAGAAATATATGTATTTAAGAAGACATATTTGCGAGATGTTTTATCACACGCAAAAACATGGCCAAATTATTTTTCCGTAGGCCCTTTAGTTTCGTAGGCCCCAGACACAACGCCGACTGTGCCTGTTGGATAATACGGCCCTGCGGTAGATGCTTGCAAGGGCGACACTGTTACACACTCTCTGTCTCTCTCTTATACGCAACTCTACACTTGTTACTAACCTACACACAACGCTAGCCGTCTGACACTGACGGCGCTGAACTAAGACAGCAAACTACGTCTAGCAGCGCAATTATCAAGTGGAGACGACAGCGACGAAGGCACGAGACGACAGCGATGATGGTGACGATCTTTAGCAGCAACGATGACAGGGATCCCACTCCAAATGACAGCCCCGAGCTCCTGCTCGGGGTCCCCTTTTACCCTCCCAGCATGGCCTCGCTCCGCCCCGGCCACGCCTCCCTTCTGGAACCTACTAGCGGATTCCCGCGCTCCCCTCAGGTGCCCCTTTTATAACCTTTATCCTAGATCCCTCTCGGGTCTACCACGTGGCCTGCTGTTAGTCAGGGCTGCTACAAGCTGCAGATCCACTTCCCTGCCAGCAGCCTGCGCTATGCTACGTAGTGACCAATTCTACGTCACTACACATGCATTCACTTAAATCGGCAATATTTAAAATGTGATTACTAGGTCCCGAACCTGCCTAAGGGGTCATATTGTGTAAATTGTGACACACAAGGCGAGCATCTCCAGACAAATTTCGTCGAATTAAGACTGATGAAGGTATTTAGATATCAGCAGCAAATGCAGTTTGATGCATGCTTCACGTTGGACTAAACAGAAATTCACATTGTCCAGCATCCTAGACACATCACGAATTTAGTCTTTCACAATGAGGTGCGCACACACAGTTTAGTGCACCTTTTTCCATTTTACCAATGTAAAATTTTCTTCATGAAGCTCACAAATAGCTTAAGCCTATTTACATAATGACGCTGCAGTTCCTTAACACGACCAAGTGTGATGACTTGCACAACAGTGTACCATATGAAAACAAGCATACTCGATTCATCAACCAATGACGTGCGTATTTAAACCACCCCAGCAACTTCACCAAGTCAGAGAGAAGATCGCAGTACCTCCACATCATTTGGCAAAAAGTGATGCAAGGGTTGGACCTCACACCATGCAACTTTGTATTGAAAGCGGTAAACTCCTTTTTAAGAACATGCCTTCCATCCACAGGTGATCGTCCACTGTGCTACGCCAGACATTTGGCGAGCACGTGCATTTCTGGGTCACACACTGGCCAGTCACGGCACTGATACCCAATACTCAAAGGTCGCCGGTTAGCAGCAACAATAAGTATATTTATATGGGTTCTTTATAGGTTGGTGATATGTTGCGATATTAAAGTACTGTACTGCATCGTGCGTATTACCTTAAATAAATTAATCGCATGCCGTGCTTTGTAAATTCACTGTTCAATGGAGGACTTCCCATGCCGTGTCAGTCACGCGGGGCTGAATTTGATTTCAGACCTCGGCTGACATCAGTGAAAAGTGATGTCTCAACCTGTACTCACCCCTCCACCCCACCTCCACCCCACAACTACTACACTAACCAGTGAGGTGAGGTATGGTCAAACAACCCCCATGATCTACACAGTGTGGGGAGTCCTTCATCCAGCAGTGCATCATCAAACGGATGTATATTTTTTAAAGTGAATTTGTTTTATATAAGGGGATGTTTTGATTTATTAAAACTGCCACACAGTAGTAGAATAGTGTCTGAAAACATTTGGTAGCACTTGACTTTTGAACCATGTATTTTTCTGGTGAACAAGCCACGCTTGTGTGTTTGTATTATAATTTTAATACATAATAAATAATATTGCGGAACTTTTACAGATATAAACATTAATCAGGGCCAGAGGTAATTCAATTGGTAAAGAAATAAATCAATGCTATCACGTGGCACTTTTGCATAGCAATTTTGTGCAAGAAATAAATGCAATTACGTGACACTTTTGCTTGGCAGATGTGTGCATGTTTACGTAGCGTTACACGTTATTATTTATTATTAACAGCTTTGAGTAAATGAATTAGCAAGTCTCATATTATGTATGGCCTTATGCAATGGCCACATCCCCAAAGTGAACCGATATTTCTGTGTTCTCATTCGTCGGACCAAGATGTCAGTCAGTGAGACGACCACACCACCACCTTGGCAAGTGAGTGAAAATATATCCGTGTTAAAAAAAACACAGATTTGTTTACAAACCAGTTCATCCACCACTGATCCTAGACAGATACTGAGGTGTGGGGGCCGCTCCGCCAGATTAATGGCTCCGTTTGTTTGAAACAGCTCTTCAATCTCTAATATGCTGAGCCCTGTGTAACCTTTACTTAAAAAAAGGTCTGCCAGCATGTCAAACGCATTTTATAAAGTGGCCGCGGATGAAGTGCAGAACAAATCTGTGAGATTGACAGCAAAGGGCAAATCATAGGCCAAGGTTCAGCACAATTTGAGAAATTCGTTGCTATACAAGTTAATGCTCATCATAATGCCAGCTAACCCCTTGGGCATAGGGCAATAATCACAGCATTGATGCAATCCCCAATGGGGGAAAAGTTGATTTACATGTCAGTTTTCGAATGTTCCCCAGGGGTAAAAGTTACTAATATTGGTCGTGCAGATACATATATTTCTCTGTTTCTCAATCTCCTCCTCAACCACAAGCCGCACCATAAAATGTTGGCAGGAGATTAAAGCTATGCAAGAACTAAAAAAACACGTAATATTTGTAACTATCAAAAACTTTGCAGTTTTAAATGAATACATATATATACCAATATATATACCACCTAGAAAAGGTCAACAGCATGAGCGTGCCCCCATTGCAACCTATTGTATGAGCACATCTATTGTAGTTGTGATTGTTGTACAATTACTGTAGTAAATTGTAAATACGGTAATACTTTGTAGTCAGTCACTGTTGTAGTTGTTCTGGTAGTAATTGGGGGTGACATAAGGACGCAGTGTTTAATGTACTGTGCTATGAACCCAGCCCATCCCCAGTTTGATTCCTGGCCATGGGTCACATCAGTGGCAAGTGATATTTAAACAAGTCCTGGATCCCCACCCCTCCATCAATCAGCACTGACAAGCAAGGTGACATATGGTCAAACAACCTCCATGACCGACACAGCTTGGCTCCTGGAGGTTTTTTTATTGACAAAGAGCGGTAATTATATTGTTTCAATTATAATTGTAGTAGTTGTTATTGGAGTCAATTACATTGTAGAAAATTGGCATGCACTACTGTACAAAAATAGCAACAAGTGTTTTGAAGAACAATGGATAGCTTAAAGTTTTCTTAAGTTACAACAGACCATGTTAAGATTATTAAAGTTCATTGCATATTTCAATGGCTTCAAAAACCAAACAAGCTAAAGTTAATGAAGATGCTAAGACTACCAGGAGAAACGTTCCAAGTCATTCTACAAGACTCCCTTGTTATAGCTTTGTATATTTAATAAAGTAATTTTTGACCCATGAATTTCTTGACATTTTTAAACTGTTATTTATATCTCAGCCTTCTGGCAAGGTGAAGTTTAACACAGCTTTTGAATTTCTGCACATTATGCTATTTTTACATTTGGTCACTGTACTCTGAGTGGAAAGCCATTAATCATAAAACTACAAAGGCAACCCACTAACAGTATCACAAAAATACAATTTTAGGCCACCAAACATAAAGACTGGATTTTATGATCCAACATTTTCTTCATTGTAACATAGATTTTAGGATAAATTATATGGTGATATCTAGAGCTGCCATCTCAGTGTTTTTTTTAAAAGGACACATATCGTGGGAAGACAAATATCTTGAAATACCAGAAGAGAAGAGATCTACACGCAAAGCCATCGTTTAGAGGTGTAGTATTATTATGGAACTGACAAAACCCGAGATTTTAAACAATCCGGCGAAGTCTTACATATTTCTCAGGACAGCTACTTCAAAAAGAGAACAATCCTGGAAAAACCAAGAATTGGTGACAACCCTGGTGATAACACTGTGTCTACTGTAATGCTAGGACTACACATATGCGTAATTAAAGGAGTCAGATTGTCATATACTTCAGGAATCATACATGCAGTATCGAATTGCAGTTTTTCAAACACAATAACCATCGCTTAATTTTAGTAAGTTAAGTTTTTTTTAGCATTGACTCAACAAACTGTGCAATTGTTATAAAATGTATAAATATTTACTCGTGAAATAATAAATGACAGAACCTGTTTAACGGAAAAAGTCGCAGTGCATTGTTACTTGGGATGCATTGCACCTCCGATTATCACGGCTGGCTACATATGGTGCCCGGAATAAGTTCAACATGCACACACTATGGGAGTGCCTACCTTGCAGTAGGGCCTTGGCAGAGCAACCTTTCCCGGCTGCACTTTCTCGGTCACTTTATCGTACGTGGGCGAGATTTCCATGCTGACACCACCTCAAATACCTCTAAGGAAACACAGACAGCACAGCGGTACAATATGTCACCCCAATACTTTTTGCTCCCACCCCAATCCCTCCCACCTGGAATGTCCATTAACAGCGGTCAACATTTCATACGTAATATTGTGACCACTAGGGGTCATTAGGGAGCGGTTACGTGCCCGGGTAGCAATTAGTGTACTTTATGAACACACATGGCCAATTAAAGCAAATAAAACCTTATAGCAAATGTGTTGTTCAATTGTCACCTCCTTCATGTATAACGAAACATGTACATGTAGACTGTAGTGTTCCAACTAAGAACATTGTTATCCAAACAGTACGAGGATGTTAAACTTCATTAATGTCATTGTTGTTTTTTCCCTTTACTAATTCTGGTAGTTGCTGGTAACGAAAAATTAAGGAATAATGAAAAATATAGTTTGCCTTCATGTAAAATAAAGGTCACAATATATTTTTTTCGAAGGTGAATGATTTTTACAATGTGATAAGAGTGATGTTCAGTCTTTTATTAATTCACTGCTGGATGAAGGCCTGCCCACGCCGTGTCAGTCATGTGGGTTGCTTGACCATACTTCACCACGCTGCTATAGTGCAGGTCAGTGAGGAGGTCGTGAGCAGTGCAATGGGGAGTGCACGACCGGTTTAGATATCATTCGTCACAAATGATAATTGCGTCCAGAATCTAACTCATCAGGTTAATATTAATCTTCATAACCAACTGTGTCACCCCGGTACGTTAAATAATCCAGGACTACAATAATCGTACATAGTAAGGTATTATAGATTGCTGTATTATGTACCAATAATACAGATTGCTGTATTATTGGTAGAAGTTTTTCATTCAATAACGTGAACAGAAACTTTAACACGACACATTATTTATCTCCCAGTTCCACCAGAAGTGTTCCACATTTACCACTTTAATGTGCAGAGTTTCAACCGCACGTTTAAGTGGGATTAGAGGTTTCACAACAATGTAATAATAGGGCACGGCTCTGTTTACAAAGAGAGTGGCAGGGATGACTTGGCAGCACCTGATCCAAAATGACCCTTCCGTTACCCTCGCTCACAGTCCCCCAAGAGCTCAAAGATCACGGCCACCGAGCACCAAGACACCGTACCACTGACCACATCACCGGAATCTGCCAGAACTTCCCTCTGGCAAAAAGAATGGGAAAAATCAAGCGACAAAGCTGCTGAATGGAGCCGGCGAGGAATCACATTCAGTGAGGAGCTCGCATCTGGCTCCCGATTCCACATGTCTCACGTGGCGGAGCCTAAATAGACTAGGAGTGAGTTTCGGCAGAAGCAAGTCTCGCGTGTAAATCATAGCGGGGGGGGACTTCTACACAACCGACTAGCGTGCTTGTCAGGAGAAGCAAACCATGGATCATCTCCTGAGATACCCTGCAGCACCACTGTACTCCTCAAGATTTGGCAATACCAACACCGGAAGCAGTGCCCTGTGGAGACCATTGGGAAACGACCATATAGGTTGGACAGGAGACATGACGAAAAATAATAAGACTGCTAGGTCACGGGGGAAAACGATGATCGACTTACACTTGTTCCCATATCAAATGCCATAGGCTCAAAGTCGGCACTGAAGACAAATAAATAAAACGTCTTAAATTTACTATTTCCTCCATTCTTTATTGATCAAGAACGTATACATACAGTGCTCTCGTACTTTGTGTGTGACCATAGGCTTCCAACATTTTCATGAAATAAAACAAAATGTACGGGTAATCTAAAAGTTTTCAATCCAAACAAGCCCCCCTTTTTTTTTACATCGCCAAAACAAATTCACAACGTCTGCACGGCGTGATGTTAAACTCGGAGGAGACGGTATCACGCCGGAAATTACATAACGCAACGTGCGTTAAAGGCGTGTACGCCTGATGCATATGCGCTCGTGAAACTTTCGCAGGTCAAGTAACATTTTTCACGTCGAAACTACAAGCGATGAAACGCTGTAAAATGCACAGCAGTTTTATTTAAAATGAAAGCGGCTTAAGTCTTTGGGGCTTGGACGCGCTCTGCGATGTTGGTGCGATCTTATCGAGGGCTCTATCGATCGTATCGCTGTCGGGCACAAACGCCTCGTTATTGCGCCGTGATGTCGGTCGATGCTGATGCACTCCGTCGCACCCCGCTGAGCGTGGCCCTGACTTGCGTTGTTTGTGACATATATATATACCTGGCACGACAAGCGGCTCCCCCAGTACCCAGAGAGAACCGTTGAGAGATCACGCTGGAAGAACCTCGAAACGCGACTGAGAGTTACAGAGGACAGTAATGATACTGCGCTTATTCAAGGAGTACAAATGCAGCGCGGTTTAATATCCACACGCTGAACGCAGAACCGAAGATGTGTTCTTAACACGAACCCGCGTGCGTATGCGCACTCGCTACCGCGCCTTTACACTTCCCAGCACATCGGTTACATCTTTGCAACGTGCCCTATACGTTTCTGATAACTTGATAGTTTCATAATACCTAAAGGCAGACTTTGCGCAGACAAAACAAAAAGAACATCGCTTTAGGATCTATTTTTGAGCTTATTGAAATGAAGTGAGAAATACCATAATGTCCCAATACCGATGCAATAGTGTGGCCCAAAATAGAATTACAATCCAGTACTGTATAGGGTAATTGAATTATTTACCGTAAGCCGCACACGAACTTTCACAATTCAGAATTGGTTTTACCGATATTTAACCTTTCGTTCTGTGCCACGTACATATACATTTCTATGTCACGTACATTTGTAATTGCTATTACTAATACAGGACAGTAGCGTCTAGTAATAATTCATCAATCAGAGAACAAAACCTCCAAAGTGATTGAAGATGTCATAATATATTAGGGGCCGTCCATAAATGACGTCACGCACCTAGGGCGGGGGTCAGACATTTGTGACGATGTGTGACGAGGGGAGGGGGGGTTGAGAAATGTGACGTCACATCAAAATGCGCATCTTTAAATAAATATAGAATTGTTATAAAACTAATTGTTATAACACTCCTACAACATCAGAGTGCAGCGCCACATTAAATACGCACTACAATGATAATAGTTTAAAGCGATTTGAAGCATGTTTTATTTATTGGGGGGGGGGGGGGGGGCAGAGCTTTGTGACGTCACATTTGGGGGGGGGGGTCTGATTTTTTGTGACGCCGTATGACGAGGGGGGGGTCAAAAATCGTCCAAAATCGCGTGACGTCATTTATGGACGGCCCCTTATGGTAAACAATGGAAGATTGCAAGCAGTAAGGATGCATGCAAATCGCAAATGTTAATTCTTTGTGGGGCAAGTAAAACATATAATGCAGCATAGAGAATTACAAAGAGTGGAGGAGTTTTACACAGATCGATAGGAAAACAAGTCATTTGACGCATGACAAATTATTTCCCAGTTCATGTGCAAGAGGACAATGAATTAAGGCATCACAGGCTCATAAGAGATGGTGTCGGAGAGGCGTTCATCATTCGGCAGATAAACCACGGTTCAAAATGATGATGATTAATTTAATACAAACGCTGCACCATCTTTTGTTTAACATCCCTTCTTGAATGGTTTCCCAGGTGTTATGATCATGTAGGTCACCTGCATTGTGTGTATGTTGAACTTCGTTCGCGTAGCCTACCGTGCATTTAATCACTTGTATCGTCGAGAACAAAGGTGCTGGATAGAACAACATATCTAGAATGGAATGCTGAAAGGCTGCAGTTGATAACTGATGACGAAGATGATGGGTTACCTACTATGGTTGACTATTGTACGTTTTTGGCGAGGATCACACGTGCAGCACCTTGTATGCGTAAATGGGACCGCAGTGTGCCTCGCGCGGATGAGTGAGTACGCAATACATCATTGTCTTAAAGGTAACCATGTTCTGCTGCAGGTGACACTCCTAAAATGATGTTTTCCTAGAAAGTAAAATTACCCGGCAAGTTAATTTATTATTGTTGCTGCAGCATGTACAAGTAAACGCACGTTTAGGTAACCAGAGCTCAACAGACCAAGTGTCCTAGGTCTGAAAAAGGATAAAATAAATAAAATAAAATGGATAAAGCAAAGAAGTGAATAGAGTAGAAAGCAGAGCATAGTAACCAAATAGAAATTGGGAGGGGGAAAAAACAACCCAAGAAAGTGCACAAAAATAAGCAATAATAAATATGTTTACAAGAAAAAAAGTTTGCTTGGACAAATATATACTTCTAACACTCAAAATTAAAGTTATTGAAACTTCAAATCGGAATTAGGATTATTATTATTGTTGTACAAGTATATAAACAGACGATGATATGTGTTGCAAAAGGAAGTGACAGATACAGATAGTACCAGCTATAGTCACGAGGGTGAGCCTCGTTAATATAGTGGTACCAAATCAGCCGTATTTGATGAGGATTCAAAATAATCACGGCAAATCGTTTCTCCCATTGAAAGAAACTCAACCCTACCCACGTTATGCATTGACTACAATAGTGGCCTCTTCTAGAAACATCCTAAGACTATGTTTTCATTGCACTGTATATCAGCATGAGCTAGTGAGTATACTATCAAGCAGGGCAGAGGCATGTGAACCGACAATGGCATTCCAGTAATACTACATTTTATATCACTGTCAACATACAGTAATGTACTGAAATTAATTCCCAATGGAATAACATGATATCACAGCACTCACGACCACCTGCACTAAGTGACATCAACCTAAGCTACAGTACGGTTATGCGATAATGTGTCATAGATATCTTACCCCGGTAGAATGAGACTCTAAGATCAACATTTTTTACTCCTGTGCTATTTGTTTTTAATGTTTACTACACTGCTGCAATGCAGCATGAGAGCAATACACGCGCCATCATTACGCGGTATTTTCAGCTTGTAACTTTACACGAGCCTCTCCCGCCGCAAGCTGTGTCAGGGAGTGTGATGTGGTAGGATGGGTGTTGGTGGAACAGGTCAGGCATGTGACCATTCCAAAAATAATGCT